CTACATACGGAGACACGAACTGGAAGCCCACCAGTAGATTTTCAGGCCCTATCAGCACATCAGTGTTAGCCAACTCTGACAGGCCCAGAACTGGTTAAAGGGTCTGTGGGATTTGGCACACTGCTTAGTATCCAACTTGCAAGTGTAAATGTAGGTCACACAGATACATTTGATCCCTGTCTTCAGTATCTACAAGGTGAATGGGTATATCCTATACACAGCCAGCCAGAAAACTAACAGAAATAGCAAACATTTGAACAACAGCAGAAATCAAGACTCTATCTAACCTGAAAATAATTTTCAACTGAGAAGTTCAGTCTCATATATTCAATAACTGCTATCTGCATACACATTTTATTTATAATAAAGAAACATGTTTATATCAAAATAAACGCTATACTACTTATTAGTACATACTGACATTACACCAAAATTCAAGTCTTTACGGTAAAACTGTTTATAAACAAATTAGTCTATGCCACCATATTAACCAACACCTAGAAATAATGCTTTATATACTGCAATTGCTCAATCAAATCCTTAACGACAATCATAAACGTTTCTTAAGCTTCCCACCAATTTGGTATCATATCTTGATCACTTACGACCCCTATTTTTCAAGAATATGAAAGACTCATTTCTGCTATTCTGCCACTATTAATTTAACCACAATCACAGTTTCATAGTGTTATAAAAGTCTATAGTTACACTTATTTTCCATGAGGTCTACAAATTATGAAAAATAAAATTAATTTTCACTAGCAGGAGGACAGCAAATTGAAACTTGCCTAAGATGACTCAACACTGTTAGATAAGAGCTGTCCCTCAGACTCACAAGAACACACCGAATCAAACATAAAACTTAACCAGTTATTAAAGGAAATAAAGATTTTTAAAAGGTTATAACCACCAATGAGATTCAACTTATCAAAAATAAAAAATAGAGATGCCTATAAATACTAAATGGCAATCATCCATCTCATTATAACATCAGTCACCAGAAAGAGATCTTTAGCAGTACCAATGTTTAAAAATACAACTATTGACAGCCAGGCACAGTGGCTCATGCCTGTAATCCCAGGACTTCGGGAGGCCAGGCAGATCACCTGAGGCTAGGAGCTCCAGACCAGCCTGGCCAACATGGCAAAACCCTGTCTCTACTAAAAATACAAAAGGTAGCCAGATGTGGCACATACTTGTAATGCCAGCTACTCAGGTAGCTGAGACACAAGAATCACTTGAACCTGGAAGGCGGAGTTGCAGTGAGCTGAGATCGCGCCACTGCACTCCAGCCTGGGCGAGAGAGTGAGACTCCAACTCAAAAACAAAACAAAACAAAACAAAAAAAGTTTCAAATATAGTTCAGTTGTGTGATAAAGCATAGTCACAAGCTATATATTACTCTGGAATATAGATAACAGCTATAAGTTATGCAATTATTACCACTTCACCTGAAGACTTCCTACTCTACCTCTGCTGACAAAGTTATTTCTTACACACATCTCTGGAAAACATGAATCACCACATTACTTCTTGATGAATCGGAGCATTAAAATATAATGTATTCACCTGTAATAAAGCATATGTAGGTATCCACATAAATTCTGGGTTATTTTCACCATCAGGGCAAGAAGGCGGCAATAAATTCAGTAAAAAATAAATGACTTTAAGAAGTATCTCATGAAGCTAAACAGTCAATACCTAACATAATTTCTGCATTTAAGTGTAAGCTTCCTGCAAAACTAAGAATAAGACATGAAAATGTAAATATTCACTGGTCTAATAAATACTCTCCACTAAATTTTTAGAAAGTATATATCCCATATTTTGTCATGAATAAAGGTATATACCATGAAGGCCATATTTGACATTCTTTCCACACAGTATTTATTGAGCCCCTACCATGCAATACACACAACAATTATTCAGGAAAATTCTACACTCTTGCCTTCGTGTAGTAAGAGAGGGAGACAGACATACCAATGGCAATGACAAGTCATGGTACATTAAAACCAACAGGGAGACCTTTAGATAACCAGAGAAGCCCTCCTCTGAGGAGGGGACAGGAAAGATTAAAAGGACTCTGCTGTCATAATTAACTAGGAATCCCTAAAAGAAAACAAGTCATAACACTAAAAATAAGCAAAGGAAGGACTATACACACTTTAAGGAGTTTCTGTGGGCTATAGTTTTTCATAGTAATCAAGACATTAAGTTAGCTTAGCATCAACCTCCTGGTTATAACATAACAACATTAGGTTTAAATCGACTCTCATTTTACAAATTCCAAATGAATCTAGGATCCAAGTGACAAAGAGCCTGAAAAATACTCCAGTGATAGCCTGCTTATTCTTTGGAAGCCCTTCTTTTACACACAAATGTGAATACAAAGGAAAAAGCAAACTTAGCCAAGATGATGTTAAAACATACTCTAATTATCTTAAAAAAAGAATGTAATCCAAAGAACCAAGTTTATCATCTTCCTAAACACAGAAACCACAAAATTATCAGTGGTTATCAAAGCTGCCTGAAATCACCAATCACAGATGATTAATGAAGTTATAAAATTTGAAAATAGATACTGATCACTGTACCAGAAAAAAAACAAACAAAAGAAAACCCACAACTATACTCTCATACGCATAAAAAGATTACCCAAGTAAATAAATACAAGACTTAAATCTTATTTCTACAAATCAACTCCTGCAGTGAATTTGTTGAACATCTACTGAACATCTGATAAGGACCAGTACAATGCTTCTGTTCTTGCAGAAAACTAAAAAACTGAACTTGTGATGGCCAAATAGACTAAAAATAATCATTAGATGGTTAAAAAAAAAAAAATTCACACAAGCTTAGACAAAGCAAATTGAAACTGTTGGCCTTGAAATACTGGCTGAATTACTCATATTAAGTTTACCTACATCATAATAAAAGATACAATATGTTAAATGCAAAGCTTAACTAGGACCTGAATAAATTTAATAGTACAGGAAGGTTCTGGAGAAAACAAAATAGAAAGTGTGAGCCAGCCACTACATAGTGAAAAAGCTAAAAAACCAACATATGGACATTCTTAAAAACCAATTCATTTCATTATGAAAGGCTTCTAATAAAATTCTGAAAAATAATTTCTAAAAATAGAAATGTTCAGATATAAGCAGGGAGAAAAAATAGTAAATGAAATAATATATCATCTTTTTTTCCAAGTCCTTCAATTCTTGTTTTGCTTCAATGTATGTACACAGCAAACTTTCACCTACAGTATAACTGAAAAAAAAGCTTTCCAAATGACAGGCCAATTTTAGTAACTAGTCATATCACTAAGAAATAAAAAGTTTCAACTGAGCGCTTAAAATAGAATTTAAATCAATGAACTACGTTTCTGATTTGAGATTTTTTTAAAATGCTAACTCAATTCAAAATCCCAAAAAGCTGAATTCTCTTTATTAAACTGAAAAAAGATTCCTTGAGAAATCTCTCAAAAAAAAAAAAAAAAATCCATTCAAACAAAAAAAACTACATACCAAGAAAATGTTTTATGGTCTTTTTTTTTTAAACTTGTGATTAAAAAAAAAAAAAGAATTCATTATTCTGAAAGAAAGCATAATCCTGAAACTAAATTATGCCCCCTTTCTGAAGATATACTAAATAGTCTATGAACGAACACTTAAGTACATAATGCTAACTCGCTTACTAGAACCTAACTCGTAAAATCATTACAGAAGATGAATGAATCAGGAGTAACTTAACATAACATCTATGCTCAAATTGGCAACCTGAGCCTAATGATGTGTGTCAGTATTCAACTAAGGATTAAGACAAATGGCTAGCTACCCACGTCAAGGGCAGTCACAGGTACAGACGAAGACAGAAGAAATAGAGTCCTTCCCATGACTGGCAAAAAAATCAAGAAATCAGAGAAGCAATAGTCAAATTTTCTCCAAAATATACAGTGGAATTTAATGATAAAAGGAATACATTTCATAAGAATGTTCAAATTTGCCAAACCCGTTGTTGCCTAGGAGCTAGTATTTTATAGAAAGTGTTAACTATAAATCACCTATTACAACAAATCAAAAATAGACGCTATTAAAATGACTTCCTAAACAGGCACAAAACTTGAGGGAAACGTTTTTTATGCTATTAAAGTCTGTGCAGCCACCGAATGAACAGAGCGCGGAACCGACCCTTGCGGAGCGATTTACAGGGTTGTTCCCCGACCCTTCACCTCCCTCCCCTCTCCACAGAGCCCTTCCCGGTGGACTTGGACTCCCACACTTTTTTAAAAGCTGCTCGGAACGCTCTCAGCAGCTTTGTTATAAACAACCCCCATTGTTACCAGGCCAGGAGAGAGCGTGATTTCCTCCCCCTCTCGGGGAGCCAGCCCGGGGCCGGCGCCTCCCTCCGGGCAGAGGCCACCGCAGAGGGCCCCTCCTCGCAGCCCCAGAGGTGGAGAAGGCACGCCTTTCCTCGGGGGAGTCCGATTCCGGGCCTGTGCCATCAGGGACCCCGCAGCTCCCGAACTTTGTGATACTGACTTTCCCCTCCCAGATGGCAGCCTGCAAGTTTGTGAACCCGAAGCACAGGCGCGCCTCCCCAGGTTCCATCCCGGCCCCGGCGAAGGGGCGCTCGCGAGCCAGGAACCCGGCCTGGAGGTGGAAGCAGCCCGCCCGCGCGCCGCCGCGCCGCCCGCGCCGCTGGGGATCAGCGGGCCGCGCACGCGCTCGCGGCGGTGGGGCGGCGCCCAGGGTGAGCCACCAGGTTAAGCGGCCGGAGAGGGGAACAGGTTGACATGGCCGCGCCCCGGCCAGCCCCGGCGACCCGGATTCACCGGGCAGGGGGACGGGCTGCGGGACGCCCGGCCGCCGGCCCTGCGGAAGGGGAGGGAGAGAGGGAGGAGTGGAAGGCGGAAGGAGGCGGTCGCGGCTGGCGGCGACGGCCAGGAAGGCGGCGCGGCGGGCGGGGGTCGCGCAGGCCCCGCGCCCCGCGGCGCTCACCTCGGTCGGCTGGCTGATCTCGAACAGGTCCAGCCGGTTGGCGTTCCAGTGGTGGATGATGTCGGCCAGCTTCCGCCGCTCCTCGTCACGGCCGCCCGCCGACATGGTCCCGGCCGCGCCTCCTCAGCCGCGCGGGGCCGGGGCCGGAGGACGGGCCGAGGACGACAGGTCTGCGGGGATCCGACGCCCCTCGCCGCCCCCCGCCGGCCGCCTCCGCCTCCACGCCCGCGCCGCGTCCTCCGACTCGGCCTCCGCCTGGGGCTCAGTCCGCGCCGCGCCGCGCCGCGCCGCCTCAGCCCCGCCGGCCAGCTGCTCGGAACGCTCTCAGCAGCTTTGTTATAAACAACCCCCATTGTTACCAGGCCAGGAGAGAGCGTGATTTCCTCCTCCTCTCGGGGAGCCAGCCCGGGGCCGGCGCCTCCCTCCGGGCAGAGGCCACCGCAGAGGGCCCCTCCTCGCAGCCCCAGAGGTGGAGAAGGCACG